CCACAGCCAGTAAGCTGGTTCCAGGAGTCCTCATTTTCATTGTTGCCTGTCCACCTTGGCTGCCTGCACCTTGAGGTTGTTTCTTGCTTGCTTGTGGCTCAGCTTTGCCTGAGCAGTCCAATAAACTTCCTTGTCTTCCACTAGGTTTCAATCAAACCCTATCTAGTTCGGTCTGAATAAAGCTTCAGGGAGAGGACTCTCTGAGTTTGCTGTTCCTTGGGGCTCTTCCTTAGCCTTAGGGTGTTCTTCAGAATTATCTTTCTATTACATTTAATAATTCTTATTTTGTTATTCTTAATCTTCACCTGAGGATATTTTTATAACTTTGCAAACTCTTCAAGTGAGAGTTTCTTTGGACATCCAGAAAGAATCTTTTCTTGAAGTATTTTAAGTAAAACCTCTTCTACACTCATGCATTATTTCCCTTCCGACCCTCTCCCATATTAGTAAAAGGGTGCCCAGAGCCCCACATTCCTCTGATAATACTGCCCCTCCCTTGACTTGTGCACCTTAGCTATCCAATACTGTAGTGAAGGAGGGTACTCCAGAGCTCTCACGGAAATAATCTATTTCTGCTTTGCCTGTTTCTCTTAGGCCTTATAAGACTCCTGGGTTTTTCATCAATACTCAGATTTTAATCCGAAAATGATGCTCTATCCACTGAGCCAAACCAGTTAGGGCTTTTTATTTTATTTTATTTAACAAAAGTTTAGCCTGCTTCCTTTTTTCTTCTTATTTTTTATTCATAATTTCCATGGAGGTATATACAATAGAATCCTAATGATTTGAGGGACAAAAAGCAAAAGTTGAAAATAATTAGTTTCCTATTGTAGTGCATTAACATACCATCTTTATCTTTCTCACTTATTTTCCCACTGTTAAGTCTAAAGCAATGCTAGATACACTGAGCTTTTGGTGTTGGTATGGGTACTAACTTGGTGTTAAAAGCTGTTTAAAACTGTTTTGGTATTATGGAAGGCTGAACTTCCTTTTTGGTAATTGTAATATCCTATCTATCTATCTATCTATCTGTCTGTCTATCTATCTATCTATCTATCTATCTATCTATCTATCTATCTATCTAAACCTAAGCTACTGAACAACCAAGTGACCGATTGCTATGACACACACTGACTACCAGGGAGCAGAAATTCAATGCAGGAGCTGCCCCCTGGTGTTCAGTGCACACCCTCAGCCAACTTCCTGCAGCCAGCCAACCTTGTGTGGTCCTTCCCCCCAGCTGGTTGCCCTCCCCTCCCCAGCACCTCTGCCATTGGCTTGATAACCAGCTAGGCCAAGAGACCCCATCCATGCATGAATTCATGCACCAAGCTTCTAGTAATTTATAATTGACACTGCTCTGTAGTTTGCAGTGCTAGTCCACCATTAGTTTTTTTCATTTCAACTTTACATTGACATAGTGAACATGTAAATAGGTAGTATTGGTATTTCAGAAATGTGGTGAAACATTGAAGTGTGTGACTTGCCCAAGGTCACTCAGGGAATGTATAATCTGTTCTACCAATAGTCTAGGGAGGCAGTTAGAGTATAATGTGTGAAAAACCAGGTTGTTTTAGAGTCATAGACAAGAGCTTGAATCCCAGTGTTATAATTTAATAGGTTGTGGTTTGGACAAATCACTTCTACTTATTGAAAACCAGTTTTATTATTAAGTTATTAGAAGGTTGTTTTGAAATATAAATGTAACAATATACTAATGTCTGACTTAAAATTAAGGCATTCAATAAATAGTAGCTGGCATAATTAAAATGATAATATCTCATTTTCAGAAGTTTTGATTTCAAATTTTGGGCAGTCAGCTACTTATTATATTATAAAAATGCTGGGTGTGTCTGCTCTGCTTGTTAACATTCTGCATTTACAGCTATCAGAGAACTCGCCATCTCAGGTTGTAATTGTCTGTTTACTTATTTTCCTCCCCTACTAGCTTCTGAAATCCATGAGAAAATAGGTGTGCTAGCAATTTGCTCTCTACATTATTTATAGAGTTAATAAGGGAAGGTTGAATGCTTTGAACTCCCCAGTGAAACACTTACTATTTGCCTTGGGTGTTAGTGGTGATAATAATATCTATCTAATTACTGACACCTTATTCCTAATAGACCCTGCTTGTCCCACAGGGAACCTGATGTGCTTTAATGAAGTATAATTTTGGAAATGACTAATACAGCTTGATAGGGAAAAAAAATTGTGCAAATTTAGTGCTGGAAGAACCCTCAGAGTATATCTATTATCCCCCTTTCTGAAAGAGGAAACAGAGGCCCAAGGGGGTTGGGTGCTTTCTCTAAGGTTACACTGCTAGTTGGTGGCAGGATTTTTTTTTATATAACCTAGAAAAAGAACAGTGCATCAAGTATCATCAAAAGAAGATAATATGCATTGCCATTTAAGGAATACCTCAACTTCCAAGGCTCCTTTTACAGTAGATCTTAACATAGGAATTAAAGAAATATAAAATTGCACCATTATAAAAGTATAGCATTTTCTTGTAAGTGCTAGATGAACAAAATAAGAGTTTAAAATTTTCAAAAACAGCAAAAGAACAGTATGGAGGATGCAGCTAAACTTTGCCATTAGTTTCTAACGGGCCTAAGAGAGAGGGAGAAGAGAGAATTAATTTTTTTCCTATACATTTTGGTATCCATTAACTTTTTACAATAATAGTTTTATAACTTACAAAACTTATAATATAGGGAATTGTTCTTTTAAAAATCCATGATTGATAAAAGCTGAAGCAAAATGTGTAGTAGTTTCTTCTTATCCTCAGTTTCACTTTCTGCGATTTCAGTTACCTGTGGTCAACCAGGTCCAAAATATTAAATGGAAAATTCTAGAAGTAAACAACATATAAGTTTTAAATTACATGGTGTTTTTTTTTCTTTTTTCTTTTTGTTCATCCTCACCTGAGGATATTTTTTAAATTGATTTTTAGAGAGAGTGGAAGAGAGAGGGAAAGACAGAGAGAAATATTGATGTGAGAGAAACACATTGATTGGTTGCCTCCTGCAGGAGGCCCAACAGGGCCAAGCTGGGGATGAACCTACAACCAAGATATGTGCCCTTGATTGGAATTGAACTTGGGACTCTTTGGTCCACAGGCTGAGGCTCTAACTACTGAGCCAAACTGGCTAGGAGTACATGCTGTTTTGAGTAAGGTGACAAAGTCAGGCCATTTAATCTCCCTGCCTGTTGGTCACTTAGTTACCACCTTGGTTTTCAGACCTACTGTTGAGATATCTCTGTACTTGTCACCCCTATTTTATTTAATAATGGCCCTAAGGTACAAGGGTAGTGTTGTTAACAGTTCAGATATGCCCAAGAGCTGTAAGGTGCTTCCTTAAAGTGAAAGGGTCTCTATGCAAAGCATAAACATATAAAGTATATAAGTGGTTCGGTACTATCTGTGGCTTCATGTATGGAATGAATCCCCTGTGGATAAGGGGAGACTGCTATACAGGGAATGTGAGACAAATCTGTCTTTACTGACCTGATTTTTTAGTTGGGAGACCAAATTTCATATCTATAAAAAAAAAATTAACTTTTATTTTTGTTTATCAAGAATTTAAGGCAATAGTTGGAGAAATAGTACAATGAATTGCATAATTAGTTAATATTTAACTTATACAGATAATGTTTATAATAGGAGTTCATAGGAGAGATTAAATAGTATATAGTAGTAATATTGCAATTATGACTATTACAGTATAATTATTTCCATATTAGTAGGTTATATTTTGTTCAGTGATACAATAATATGCTTGGAAAGTTATTCTCAGAGATTTTCAACTTTATCTTCATTATGTACTTAATTGTTTTTGGATGCCAAAGGGAGCTCTAAGCAAAATATCTCGAATTACTCACAGGAAGTATATATTGTTTCACTGCTTACTGAATTCTTGTTTGGATAGGGTCATAGAAAAAAAAAAAAGAAAAAAGAAGAAAAAGCTAGTGCTACTAGAAAAGTAAGCCTTTGGGAAACAACAAGGATTAGATTCAATATTGACTGGTTAGTTGCCATTATTTTAAAATTTGAAAAATCTCATATTTAATTGATTTACATTCTCTACCCCTTGTATAAAGTGCTTCACAGCATATTAAATTTTGGAAAGCTAAATAAAAACACTGGTACATGTGAGTATGTGTTGTTGGCTAGGGACACAGTGGACAGATCACATTGCTGCTTAAGTTACAAGACCTATGGAATAGCCATGTTAATATGAATAAATTGTTTAACTTCTCTGGGCTTTACCTTTCTTCCCTATAAAGCAGAATTAACAATTATATCCTAACAAATAAAAAATGTTAGATTCAACTGAATTTTGCAGCTTATGAAAACCTCCTACAAATAAAGGGGTAGTGTTGATGGGATTGCTAACACTTCTCTTGCATCGGGAAGCATGGAATAAAGTAAATGGTTACTAGTATATTGTACATTGGATAATGTTTTCACTAAATAATAGTACTTTTAGTAATGTGTTTTATATTGCTTTCCCCCCCCTCCCCCCCAAACAAGGACATAGTTTTAATAAGCTACTCAGTTAACATGACTGGAGAGGGGCAGGGTGATTGTTTCTGTTAAGATAGCTTGATGCCAAAGGAGAGCACAGTGTCTTGTTCTTATTCTTTTAAAAAATTCTCCTTTTCAATTTAATTGGGTTATATGATCTTGACCTATATGTTTGGAATAACTTCAACTGTATTCTGTCTCAATTAATAATTTTTGTGGCCATTTTTATTACAGTTTCCTATCACTGGTAATCTTTTACATGCAGAAATAAAGATTTGGCAATTTAGTTATTTCTATGTGATTTTTGTTATGTATCTTAATGAATTTTTGTCTGTGCTGTTTCTTTATAATAAGAAAGCTATTTGTAATTACAGACTTCAGATTATATAGTTATTATAAAAATACTTTTTGTTCACTGGGCTTCTATATATTTTTGATACCTTATTTCTCCTTTTTCCCCTCAAATTTTCAGATGTTTTGGAATGTTATTAAGCCCAGGTCGAAACGTGAAGAACAGTGACATGCATTTACTGGATATGGTAATATTAACCTTAAACACTTTAACCAAGTATAGATATAGTTATTTTATATTTTTAAAATATATTCTACTTTAAAATTGTTATATTGAGAGATCTGTTTCTAATTTTCAGCTGTACAATAGTAATAATGAAATTTGAAAACCTAAACTTAAAATAACTTATGAGGGAGAGATTTGGGACAATTCCCACCAAAAAATCATATGCAAGTTCAAAGCAAATAGAACAGTGTTATGACAATGTCCATCTATTCATCTGTTTGGCTTCTTAGGAGGATGTCCTTTCTTTGAGCCAAAAATAACAAGGACATGATTATCACAGGCATATCCAGAGTGAATATGGTACCTTTTACTTATTTTAATGCACTGTTATTAATTTGAGTCCTGTGATGGATGCTTTTATTTTCTTAAAAGCATTTCCCTTTCTGAATATCTCCTCCTTGATTATCTATCCTTAGCAAAGTATATGTATTGTGGGAATGCTATTTATTTCAGGAATGCCCTTAAAGGTCAATATATATTTAAGAGTTGGTATTTGATGTAAAAATAGCAAGCCATCCTAACTTTTAAACAGAAACACTTTCTAACATTGCAGTTAATGAAAACATTTACTTCGCAATTTAGAAATGTTATAGGAAATGGTCATCTTAAAGTAAGCATAAAGCTTTTTACTTACTTCACTGCAGTTTTTATATTTAGTGATAACAAGTACTAGATGTGGTGTGTTTTTTTTTTTAGCTGTGTTTTGCAAATGTCAGATAAATGTCACCAATTATGTCAGTGTTTTCTTTATTTCATGGTGATGATCATGCTGGTTTTCTAGTTGTACTGGGATGTTTCAGTCAGCCTTTTTGAACTTCTAACTATGTGCAAGCATTGTGTGAAGTGCTGGGGTTGTAGATAAGATAGAAAACAGCTCTCACCATCTGTGGGTTCACAGTCTTATGACAGAACAGACCTTATGAGTCTGTAAGTATCGCAGTGGGTTAAGTGCTCTCACTGAGTTGGTCCAGTGAGCCACAGAAATTTAGAGGAGGAACCCCATGGATAGGTCAGGTGGGGACAGCCAGGTACAGTGAATGTGCAAACAAATGAGCTGTTGATCCATCTCTCCATCCCTCTTTACAGCACAGCAGTAATGCAAGTGCTTTTACCTAAGGCAATCCAGAGCATTTCAAGCCCTGAAAATTCTATGTGGAGGTAGTTCAAGGACATTAAACACTTAGATGCTTCTAGGTCTTAACTAGTTATGGTCTTTCACAGTTTAGGAGATTAAGATGAATCACTGGCAGAGATTGTTCTATGAACTTATGTTCACATTATAGAATTACAAGTCTGATCTGAACTCCTGAGGCCCCTTGTGTATCTCATTGTTGAGCAGTCTCCACCTTTAAGAGTCCATGTTGAAATCAAAGAGCTTGACAGTATTAAAGCCCCTGGAAAGAGAAGTGGGCTGACTTATACAATCAAAAGTTGGTCAGGTGGGAGGGCCAGCATTTGCAGTTATCAACAGTTGTGACTTACTACCCAGTGCTGTTAATCTTCATATCATTTTAGTACATGGTTATTGAGCTTTGACTAGACTATGCCTAATAAAAAGGAACTTGTTACTTTATAATGAAGATTATGAAACAGTGCTGGTTATTCCAAAGTTATTTCTTTGTGATGACCTGATATTGTATTCCTTGTAACTTGGCCTGATCTGTGTTACTTCTTCCCCCTTGAACAAGACTTTGATACTTCTCTGTCTTTTATGTTTTGTCCAAATATATGAACACTTTTGAAAACAAATTTTACCTTCTTACATAGTACTCTGACAAACTTTGAAAGTTTTGCCTCTTTCTTTCCTCCCCCTTTCCTTCCTTGTCTTCCTCCCTATTTTTCCTCTACCTTTTTCTCCCCTCCTCCCTCCCTTCCTGCTTCCCAATATTTGCCTTTGTTTTTTGACTATGTGACTATTTTATTATTTATTATTTTTAAAAATATATTTTATTGATTTTTTTACAGAGAGGAGAGAGGGATAGAGAGCTAGAAATGTCGATGAGAGAGAAACATCGACCAGCTGCCTCTTGCACACCCCCTACCGGGGATGCACCTGCAACCAATGTACATGCCCTCGACCGGAATCGAACCCGGGACCTTTCAGTCCGCAGACCGACGCTCTACCACTGAGCCAAACCGGTTTTGACTATGTGAATATTTTAAAGTATTTAAAAAGTGTTCTCCATTTCTCCCAGCATTTAGCAGTTTCCTCATGCTCTGCTGTTCTTTATCTATTTAACCTTCCATATAGTTTCTGTTATCATCACATATCTAGCTTCATTTTATTTTTACAATTTTATTGAATTTATTGGGGTGACATTGATTAATAAATTTATATAGGTTTCAGGGGTACATTTCTATAATGCATCACCTATATATTGTATTGTGTTCACCACCCCAAGGCAAGTCTCCTTCCATCATCTAATGTTATTTTATACTAGTGGCCCAGTGCATGAAATTCGTGCATGGGGGTGGGGGGATGTTCCTCACCCTGGCCTGCATCCTCTCCAATCTGGGACCCCTCGAAGGATGTCTTACTACTGGTTTACAGGGATCAGGCCTAAACCAGCAGTTGGACATCCATCTCACAATCTGGGACTGCTGGCTCCAGCCTAATTGCCTCTAACCACTCTGCCTGCTGGCCTGCTCGCCCTCAACTGCCCCCTGCCACTGGCCTGCTCGCCCCCAAATGCCCCCCCCTCCCTTGCTGGCCTCCTCACTCCAAACTGCCCCCCGCCTCCCGCCCCGGCTGTCCTGATCACCTCCAACTGACCTCCACTGATGGCCTGCTCACTGCCAACTGGCCCCCCTGCTGGTCTGCTTACCACCAACGGTCCCCTGCCATCCCATCCTGGCCTGATCACCTCCTGGTGACCCAAGGTTCCAGCCCCTCCTTTTTTTTTTCAGTGCCTCCTTGAGCAGAGGCCAGGGCAGGCTGGAAGCAAGTACAATATCTAGGATTTACTTATTTTCTATGATTGAAACTTTGCAGCCTTGAGTGGAGGCCAGGGCCGGCCAGGGCCTGTGGGAAGCTTGGCTTCTTCCATTGCTGGGGCAACCCAAGTCTCCTGCTTGCTCCAGCTCTGTGGCCACTGCCATCTTGGTTGGGTTAATTTGCATACTTGCTGGTGGGCGTGACTGGTGGGTGTGGCTTGGCATAGCAGAGTATTGGTTAATTTGCATGTTTCTTTTTTATTAGTGTAAATGTGACCTGTCATCACCTGACTTCTTACCCAACCTTATAGTTCTACTTTTAACTGTCCACTTTCCTTTGTATTTGTTAATTAAAAGAAAGAATTTTATTAGTCTAGCTCTTCTTTTTAGACTCTTGTCCACAGGTGGATTGTATTTTTTGGGGGTGGGGTTAGATGCTCACTCTTTTAAAAAATATATATATTTTATTGATTTTTTACAGAGAGGAAGGGAGAGGGATAGAGAGCTAGAAACATCGATGAGAGAGAAACATCAACCAGCTGCCTCTTGCACACCCCCCACCGGGGATGTGCCCACAACCAATGTACATGTCCTTGACTGTAATCGAACCTGGGACCCTTGAGTCCGCAGACCTACGCTCTACCACTGAGCCAAACCGGCTTCAGCTAGATGCTCATTCTTGAGGGTCTAATTAGAGGGTAGAGAGAGAGGATAAAGGAGAGAGAAGAGGGGAGACAGGGGGAGAGGGAGAAAAAGAGAGGGAGAATATGAATATATGAGTATTGAAGTACTGAGTGAGTTTCCTTTACATGACCTTGAATGTATTTCATTGAATGTGGTCTTTGCACTCAAGCTAAGCAGTTTGATTAGTGAAATATCACTGATATGCCAGAAAAATATATCAAATGACTGAAACAATTTTATAGGGATTTAGAGAAACATAAGTGGGAGGGAGGTAATATTGTAAAAAAAAATTTTCTCTTTTTTTAGTCTGATCCTTCGAAGCCTCTCTGTTCATAATAGGAAATTGGTACAGAACATTGAAAGTACTGTAAATAATATTCCTTTTTGCATTTGCACATGTTTGTATTTTGTGTGCAGTTCTCCCATAGGACATTCTTTATCGCCCCCTACCCCACCCCTCTATACACAACTATATGTATGTGGTCTTGCTCTCAGTATAGGGAGTTGCTGGCTTCTGTAGTGAGAGTCAGGAGCTGGCTAGGTAAAAATCTTAAAGAGTGGAGGAAATGAGGAGAAAGGGGAGAGGAGGGAGGGAAGAAGAAGGGAGTGAGTGTAAGGGTGGAGGGAGAGAGTAAGCTTCCATGTTGAATATAAACCAACTAGAGGCCCGGTGTATGAAAATTCATGCCCTTGTGGGGCGAAGGGGTACCTCAGCCCCATCTGCGCCCTCTTGCAGTCTGGGAGCCCTTGGGGGATGTCTGACTGATGGCTTAGGAGGCAACCAGTGGGCTGGCGAGTGGCCAGCCCTGCTCCCAATAGTTGCCACCCCCTGGTCCTTGTTCCCTCTCTCTGCTTGCTGACATCCGTGTTGGCTGGCCTGGAGCTGCCCACTCACTGGCCCTGCCCCCTGCCGACCTGTCATTCTACCATTTGGTCAATTTGCATATTAGGCTTTTATTATATAGGATATTGGTCTCCTACTATTGACTTGTGATTTTAAGAAAGTGTATAAATATCTGACATATATAGCAGGAAAGTATTCACTTTGAAGGTATTGATTGTGACAAAGTAAATTAATATTTTAAGAATATATTAAAAATTAGAGCATTGGAGGAAAATACTGTCTTGTGATTAGCTATAAAGTCACTTTAACTATTTTCAGTGAGATCTATTCTATAGTTTTCATAGCAACTACTTACATCCTTGTGTGAGTATATGAGATTTTGATAGAAGCCTAAGATCAATTTAAATATAACTTCATAGCAATATTATGTTTTTGTGATCCAGCATGTACTCTTTTATTTGAAGAGATTTGTGGTCTTTATTTTGTATTTTAATTTTTTCAAATTGATTTGGAGAGGAAGAGAGAGGGAGAAAGAGATAGAAGCATCAAAATGAGAGAGAATCATTGATTGGTTGTCTCCTGCATGCGCACACTGGGGGTTGAGCCTGTAACTGGGGTATGTGCCCTAATCAGGAATTGAGCCTTCACCTCCTGATTCATAGATCAATACCCAACCACTGAGCCACGTCAGCCGAGACAAAAGATACGTGTCTTTAAAAGAAACTCTGTTTGAAGAAAGTTGTAGAATTTAATATTCAAATAAATGTTTTTGTAGGGTGAAAAAATTTATAGAGAAAATAAACCCCCCTTTTGCTTGTAAATCCAAATTTTAGTACATTGGATTGTTTAAAGTAAGACACATTCATTAATTGAAATGGTGATTTTCTTGATGTATATATTTCTGTTTGGACTTTCACAGGAATCCATGGGAAAAAGCTATGATGGGAGGGCTTATGTTATCACTGGCATATGGAACCCTAATGCACCCATATTTCTGGCACTTAATGAAGAAACCCCAAAAGGTGAATTTTCTTAAAAGATTCCTTATTATTTGCTTAAAAGTTTACATTATGGACAGTGTTGTTTTACCAGGTTAAAAAAAAAAAAAATCTAGTGTTCATATAAAATGTATATTTTAATTAATAGATTTTACTATAAAATTTAGCCCAGACTTGTGTTATGCACAATAAACATATCTGATATAGTTTTCTTACTATTCATTTTGCATTTCTATATCTAACACTATTTCTTTAGCATAAGGAGAATGGTCTATTGCAGGGAAAATAATAGCCTAAGTTAATGTATATAATGCATTAAAATGTGCTAAATCTTATGTGGTTTTACATGATTACTGCACATATACAATTAATTGACACTGAACACTGTTATACTGAGGATAAATAGAAAATAATACACAGGTTCAGTGTGAATTTTAAGAAGATTGTTATTTACATAATACTATTTACAATGGTGCTGTAAATTTTGTGAGAAATAAATTTGTATCTCCTGTAAGTCTTTCAAATTTTCTTTTTTAAAAATATGTTTTTATTGATTTTAGAGAGGAAGGAAAAAGGAGAGAAAGAAACATCGATGTGAGAGAGAATCATCTATTGGCTGCCTCCTACACATCCCCTACTGGGGATTGAGCCTGCAACATGGCAGGTGCTCTGACTGGAATTGAATTAGTAAGATTTTGGTGCATGGGATGATGCTCAGTCAAGTGAGCCATACCAGCCAGGGGCGAATTTTCTTTAAAAAATTAATTTTTATTTTTCAATTATAATTGACATACAGTATTATATTAGGAGTTATTTTTTTTAAAATATATTTTATTGATTTTGTACAGAGAGGAAGGGAGAGAGATAGAGAGTTAGAAACATCGATGAGAGAGAGTCATCAATCAGTTGCCTCTTGCACACCCCCTACTGGGGATATGCCCGCAACCAAGGTACATGCCCTTGACCGGAATCGAACCCGGGTCCCCTCAGTCCCCAAGCCGATGCTCTATCCATTGAGCCAAACCGGTCCCGGCTAGGAGTTATTCTTTAGAGTTTAAAGTTTCCTTTTTCTATTTTACCCATCTATTGGGGGGAAACCTCCACTATTCAAAAAATTCCCCCCAGAGATACATGAATTAATTTTATTAGATTATGTAGAAAGCATTTGTGTTTTATTATTTTTATTTTTTGTTAATCTTCACCTGAGTATATTTTTTTCCATTGATTTTTAGATAGTGGAGGAAGCGGGGGAGGGAGGGAGAAAAAACGGGAAGGTGGAAGGCACAGAGAGAGAGAGTGGGAGAGAAATTGGTTGCTTCCTGCGTGTGCCCTGACCGAGACAGGGATAGAACCTGGAACCTAGGTACATGCTCTTGACCGGGAATCGAACCTGCAACCCTTTGGTGCACCATATGACACTCTCACCAATGAGCAACACTGGCCAGGGCTCTCATTATAGAGTGATTTTATTTGGAGGCGAAATGACGGAAGAATATGAATAAAATTATGAAACCAAATTCTAAAATTCTGCATATTTTTTAAAATATATTTTATTGTTTTTTTTACAGAGAGGAAGGGAGAGGGATAGAGAGCTAGAAACGTCGATGAGAGAGAAACACCAACCAGCTGCCTCCTGCACACCCCCACCGGGGGATGTGCTCGCAACTAATGTACATGCCCTTGACCGGAATTGAACCTGGGACCTTTCAGTCCGCAGACCAACGCTCTACCACTGAGCCAAACCGGTTTCGGCAAATTCTGCATATTTTTGATAAGCATTTTAACTTTAAAAAATATAACTTACGATTTTGTTCCAGTCTTTTAACCTTAGGGAGCTTAAGTCTTAGTAATGGATAGCAAGTATATCATTTATGACAAACCCTTTTTTCCTTGTTGTTTACTTTTTCATTTGTTTAACATGATTAGTGTTGAATAGAATTCATAAATGGTATATAGTCATATTGGTCATTTTTCCCCACTGTGTTTATTTTTATTACTACTTTTCCCAGGTAGCTGTCAATTACTTGTTTTTTTTGTTTTTGCTCCTCCATTATCTGCTTTCAAACTTACATTAATTACCTCATGAATTATAATCTTACACTAAATTCTTTACTGTCATTCAAATAATAATTTATATTGAGAAAATAATGGATTTTTAAAAATCTTTGTGTTATATTTCATTTATACCCACAGACTTTTGGTTCAACACAAAAACATTAGTGAATACTGATATGAAAGTATAATATATTAATGAAGAATATTAAAATGCTAATTACTCTCAAATTTCTTTAAATAGTCTTTTCCAGTTCCATAAATTGCATGCATTTTATCACACAGCAAGCTATTTTATATTGAGGGCTAAAAAGGGAGAAAAAATAATGATTGTTTAAAATTTAGCTTTTCATATATTAAGAATAAATAATTTTTACACCCAGTTTTTATTTCTGGAAGTAAACTTGTAAATACCAGCATATTAACTTCTTATTATTATTATTCAGAAAGAAACCACAAAAATGATTAAAAAAAAAAGCCAGTTGATAATTTTGAAGAATAAAATACCAGAATTTCAAAAAATAAGTAAAGTTGTTTTTATCTGTTTTAATGCAACACATTAGTCCGAAAGGCAACGCTCTATCCACTGAGCCAAACCGGTCAGGGCTGAAAGATAGTTTTAAGGAAAAAGACGTCCTAAAGATTTTATTTTACTTTATTTTTATAGTAAGACCTGATTTTGGGAAAAAATATTAAAGTTGTCAGAGAAGATTTGGACAGCTGATTAAAATAGAATTCTGTGTGTTGAGAAATATATTTGGAATACTTTGTTACCTATTTAATCAAACTGACATGAAAACCTTTAAAATTAAATTTAAAAGGTAATGTGATAGTAAGTGAGGAAACTGTTTTCTTAAATAACCAAGGAATAATAAAGCCAGCATAAAACACAGAAAATTTCTGCTGCAGATAAACGAGTGTACATGACGGTGGCAGTGGATATGGTGGTCACGGAGGTGGTGGAGCCTGTCCGCTTTCTCCTGGAGACAGTAGTGCGTGTATACCCTGCAAATGAGCGGTTCTGGTATTTCAGCAGAAAGACTTTCACGGAGACTTTCTTCATGAGGTTGAAACAGGTAGGACCTTTTTGTTCTCCTCATGAAATAACTTTTTTTTTTCTATCATTGTTTTTAAATGTCAAGATAGTTTCTTAAGTAGCAATAAAAAGCCATAAAATTTCTGTAATTAATGATGTGTAGAGTCAACCAATAGAGTATTTGAAAAAATTCACATCTAGGTAATGTAAGTTAAAAAACAACAACAGCTGGTGTAATAATTATGTTCTTTCCCCCCTGGAAACTTGTAATGTGCACTTATAAAGTCTCAGTATACTTAATAGAAATATTGATTCTATATTTAAAACAACTTTTCTTCATTTTATATATAATAATTAAAACCAAAAAGATAGGGCACAGAAAGTTATAATGAATAAATATTCAAGTAATACCTGATTACTTTTCATAATTATTTCTATTATATGAATATAGGATGAGGCAAACGTAGGTTTATAGTGGTAAGTATGCAAAACACAGTTTATTCTTGTATTATTATTTATTAATTATTATTTTATTTTCCATATGAACAACTGTAAACCTATATTTGTCCCACCCTGTATATTGTTTGACTTATTAGTAAGATTTTAAAGTTATTTTAATATTAAATGAACAAAAGTAGGGTTTCCAAGACATTCCTAAATTAGACAGTGTTAGTAGGTAATACACATAATTTTTGTTTTTTAGTGAAGGAAGAAGGTAACCATTGCCAGTCTTTCATTCTACTGATATTTATTAAGTACCTATGTGTCACGCACTGTATTATTTCTGATTGAAAATCAACATAGTCACTGTCTTTAAGGTACATACTGTCCAGTAGACAGGATACCCATTAAACAAGTGAATATGGTAAATGTGTGATTATCTGTGGTGAGTGAAATGAAGGGGGAACAGGATATGAGAATCAAAACATAGGTAACTCAGGTTAAATTCTTTGTAGAAGTGAAAGGATCTAAGTTTGACAGAGGTTAGCAAAGATAGGAGGAAAAGCTCTATTGGCAGAGAAAAAAGGATGTTCCTACACCTTCAGCTGGGAGAGAATTTAAAGATTCCCAGAGCTGACTGAGGCCTAAGTGGCTGGAATGTAGTGACCCATTTAAGTGTGAGACAAGGTAAGAGGCAGTTTATCTTGGGTTTTGTAGGCCATGCTTGACTAATTAATTGGCAGTTGCATTAGTTTTTCCTTCTTAAAAAAAACAAAGCAAACTATTTAAAATGTAATCCATTTATGAGGTAAAAACTATTTACTTCCATGAATTAGTTAAGGGATGTTATAATATCTCTTTTCCTCAATGTGAGATAGTGAGTCCTAAGAATCTATCAACATTTGCTTACCTGCCTGCCCTATAATCTGTGGTGTCTTAGGTTTTTATGATAAAAAAGATTGAGTTCTTCCAAAATGGTCAGCAGATTTCATTGTATTGGTTAACACAATGCTATAAGAACCATACAATAGAATACCATGTGAAGAACAAAGTATTTCAAAAAAAATTTTTTTAAGCATGACATGCTGCTTTTCATTACAGCACTTCTAAAAAAATATTTTTTATTGATTTCAGAGGGGAAGGGAGAAGGAGAGAGAGAGAAACATCAATTTTGATGAGAATCATTGATTGGCTGCCTCCTGCATGCCCTCTACTGGGTATTGAGCCCGCAACCGAGGCTTGTGTCCTTGACCAGAATCGAATGGGACCCTTCAGTCCGGAGGCCGATTATTCACTGAGCCAAACCGTCTAGGGCTCATTTCAGCACTTAAAAAAAAAATTATATATATATATATATATATATATAGTTTATTGATTTTTTACAGAGAGGAAGGAAGAGGGATAGAGAGCTAGAAACGTCGATGAGAGAGAAACATCGACCAGCTGCCTCTTGCACATCCCCTACTGGGGATGTGCCCACAGCCAAGGTACATGCCCTTGACCGGAATCGAACCTGGGATCCTTCAGTCTGCAGGCCAATGCTCTATCCACTGAGCTAAACCGGTTTTGGCTCATTTCAGCACTTTTTTTTTTTTTTAAATATATTTTATTGATTTTGTACAGAGAGGAAGGGAGAGAGATAGAGAGTTAGAAACATCGATGAGAGAGTCATCGATCAGCTGCCTCTTGCACACCCCCTACTGGGGATATGCCCGCAATCAAGGTACATGCCCTTGACCAGAATCGAACCTGGGACCCTTCAGTCTGCAGGCCAATGCTCTATCCATTGAGCCAAACCGGTTTCGGCTCATTTCAGCACTTTTTAATGGACCATTGAAACATAGTGTTTCCTTCACATTTCTCATATTGAAACACATATTATCTCTTTCTCAGACTGAGGGAAAAGATCACACCAGTGCTGGAGATGCAATATATGAGGTGGTGAGTCTACAGAGAGAGTCTGAGAAGGAGGAACCTGTCACTCCTACTAGTGGAGGGGGCCCAATGTCACCCCAGGAGGATGAAGCAGAAGAGGGTAAGAAGGGACACTTACTCAGTTCCTTTTCTTTATATAGCTGCTTTATTTATAATCCTCAAAGATGTGGTGTGTGTGTGTGTGTGTGTGTGTGTGTGTGTGTCTTAGTCTCTGCCCTTCTCAGGCTAGATTCTGGTAGATGCAAAGAGAATTTGGTTCATTGGGTTTCTTGGTTGTATAGTCCCCATTGCCACTTATGCAACTGCTTAAATTTGACAGCCCCACTTTGCTGTTTTGCTTCCTATTTTATTTGAAGTAGTTTTGAAGTGTTTAATGAGAAGTTTCAAATTCTCTCAAGTGCTATTAGAATTTCAGTGAAATGTTATGTCCTACTTCTCATGAGGCATTATTCACTTCTGACTTTTTTGTTGTTGCTTTATATAACACTTACCACTTGCTTTTTTGAAATAGTGTGATACCTGGATGCTGCTGAACCTCTAGCATGAGAGTCAGCCCTATTTGACTCTGTGCTAAGTAATCTTTTTATAGAAACTAGAGCTTAATGACAGATCTTTACTTTAAGCCCTTATATTATCTGCAAAGAGGATAGGATTTATAAAAAATAAATTTCTGAATTTATCTCATTTTGAAAAAAGCATCTTAAAATTCTCACTCTTTTTATCTATGAAACCATTTCTTTCTTGGATTGTCATAAAAATAATGGTTATTTTTTAGCTAATATTGAATGCTTATATATGCTAGACATTATTCTAAGTGTTTCATTAAAAAACTTTATAAAGATATAATTTATGTACTATGGAATGTAACTCTTTATAGTGTATATAGTTCATTGAATTTTTACAAGTGGTTTATAACCACCAGCAGAATTTATACTAATAAAAGGTAATATGCTAATTAGACTGGATAGACCAGATGTCTTCTGGATGTCCTTTCAGACAAAGCCATGGTGGTGGGGGCCAAGGCAGAGGCAGTTAGGGACAGTCAGACAGGCAGGTAGAGCCGTTAGGAGTGATTAGTCTGGCAGTGGAGAGTAGTTAAGGGCAATCAGGCCAGCAGGCAGAGGTGGTTAGGGGCAATCACGCAGGCAGGCAAGGCGGTTAGGAGCCGTCAGGCAAGCAGGCAGAGGCGGTTAGGAGTGATCAGGCAGGCACGGGAGAGTAGTTGGACATCCCCCAAGGGGTCCTGGATTGGAGATGGTGCAGGCCGGGCTGAGGGACCTCCCTTCCCAAGGAACGCCCCCCTTCCCGTGCAGTCATAATATAAAACTTTTCTATCACACAAAAGTTTCCCTTATACCATTTAGAGTCCATCCTTTCCCCTCACCTGTGATCCCTCACAACTGTGATCTGTTTTCTGCCACTACGTTTACCATTCCTACAATTTCATGTAGAAGAAATCATGGAGTACAGTCTTTTGTATATGATATCTTTACATAGCATAGTACTTTTGAGATTTATCTATGTTGTCAGTATTTGGTTCCTTTTTACTACTGAATAGTAACCTATTGTAAAGATATACCATGGTTTGTTTAACTATCTCGTCACCAGTTAATGACCATTGGGTTGTTCCTATTGGCTATTAGGAATAAAGCTGCTATAAATATTTGAGTACAAGTCTTTGGCGAATATATGCTTTCATTTGCTTTGGGTAAAAATGTAGGAGTGGACTGGCTGGGTCTTACAGTAAGTGTATACGTGTTTCCAGAATTCTGTCTTCTGAGTAGTTTTGCTTCCTTCTTTTTTATTCTATAGAAAGAACCCATGTTCTAGGTGGAGAAGATGGCTGAAGCCTATTAGTCTTCCTGTGTCAGCCAGTGGCAACTTCTCAGAGCCCAGAATCTGGCCTCTCACTGGGCCTGTCATTTCTTGTGTTGGGTTATTGCAGTGCCTCCTAACTGGTCTCCTGCCTGCAATCCTATGCCTGTGTTCCACATACCAGTCAAATTTCATCCTTTTGAAATTTGTCAGATCACATTGTTCTGCTTAAAACCCTCTGTTGGCCTCTCATTTCTTTCAGCCAGACTTCTTTTATCATGGTTTACAAGGCCATATGCAGTCTTGCTCTCTGATTTGTTCCTTTCTGACCTCATTTCTTGTTCTCTCTGCCTCACAAATCCCACACTTGTCCTTTTGCCATTTTGCCAACAAACATAGGTTTCTGGGCTGTTGCTCTTACTATTCCCTTGGCTGGAACTCTTGGTTTTCCTACATTGCCAATTTATCTGCCCCCTTCTTTCTGATCTTTTCTCAGATGTTACCTTCTCAAGGAGATCTTGATTGCTCAGTAAATAGTATGAATAATAATGAATGAACAAATAATCCTATTAATTATAACAAGTAATAAAAGGCTAATATGCAAATTGACCAAATGGCTATGATGCACACTGATCACCAGGGGGCAGAGGAGCTGCCTCCTGGTGGTCAGTGTGCTCATCAGCCTGGCTTACAGCTGGTGAGCACAGCGGTGGTGGCTGGAGCCTCTCCCGCCTCCCTGCCAGTCAGACATTCTCCGAGGGCTCCCAGACTGTGAGAGGGTGCAGGCCAGACTGAGGGACTTCCCTCCCCCCTTCCCAAGTGCACAAATTTTGTGTACTGGGCCTCTAGTAAATAAATTAAAAATACAATATATGTTATAACAAATATTATAATAATGAATATTTTTCCTTTTATAATGTCTCAAAATAATTTAGTAGTGAAGAAGACAGAAAAAACACGGGTAACACTTCTGAATTTAAAATTATGAAAAACATATATAAAGTTTTCAATTTCTGCTTCTTCTGTATGGTCTGAATAAAAGCAAGTCACCACATTTCTCTCAAATTTTTTCATTTTTTTTCTTAGCAAATTTTCAACACTTGAGATATCACCTTGTCTTTTGAATATGTATTAGCCATCACCTATATTAAAACTACAAAAATCACAGAGTAGGAAGTAATATTCCTATTCTTTTATAGATCAGGTGTTTCATACATTTTTCAATACACTTTATTATTAGTTCTGTAATTGACATTTCTGTCAACGCAAGCATCAAAAGTTAGAGCCGGAGGTGGCATAGAAATGTTTTACTGCTGGGGTGATTGGAATATTCTTTTATTTAATTATTTTCAACAATTTGCCTGTCAAAGCAAAAATGGAAGTTCAAGTCACTCTAAATTGTCTTGCCTTAGCTTGTAATTTAACTAAAAAGGGATACATTTAAAAGAACTAAAATTGCTCTTAATTTTTGGGGAAAGATATAAAATAAAATGGATTAAGGTATCTTTGCATATTTTTCAAATGCTGTTCAGAAAAACCAAGTGTGTTAAAGAGTACTAATTTGAATGCAAGGAATCTTAGTGGAAAGTTAATTCTATCAATGCACCATTATAGGGATTATTTTTAAATGACCTTGTCAGCCTCATATACTCCCACATGTTCTGAATGGCTCCTGCTTTTGAAATTTGAGGCACACTGGTGTTGCTTCATCTGAATTTCAAACTGGCTTTCTGTTGGTTGACCTGAGACTGGTACAGTAAGTCCTCACTTAATGTCATTGATAGGTTTTGTGACTTCAAGCGAAACGATGTATAATGAAACCAATTTACCATGGGCTAGTTGCTATAAAGGAGAGTTGAGTTCCTATGGCATCTCATCAACATATAACAAAATGATGTTGAGCGATAAGGCTATGTTATTCGAGGACCTGCTGTATTTAGTTACTTGTAACATGGATAGCAAGTTACAAGACGGCAACAGATGGGGAGTACAGTATGACCTCCTTAAGGATACATGCTTAATTGTAAAATACCAGATTCACAATAATAATAGATAAGGGTTACTCTTGGTTGTACCTTTTATGTTTAGTATATTTTGTATTTTTTTGTTTTTGTATTTGGTTTGGCTATGCTATCTAAAAAACCCCCACAAAACAAGCATTTTTTTCTTGGTTTTTGAAACTATCTTAATTAGAACATCTCAAGTTTCATGAGTTGATTTTGTTTTTCATAGAAAATATGTTTGAAAAGAAATATGAGAAGTAGCAAGAAAAAAAGAGAAGCATGCTAGAGTTAGTGTTTCCTCAGATAAGTTTCGTGATAGACATCCATCTTTCTCATTTAGTATTTAAGTATGCCTAAACAATTTGGTAATTTGCAGGCTACGACTATACTCTTGGTTGTTTCGACAACTCCCAAATGTGTACTTAATTCAGACCATCATAAATGGATAATCCAATAGAAAAAGTACATCTTACTATCATAAATATGGTTTTTATATTATTATATAAGCTTTTTCAGGGATGATTGATTTTCAGTGTTAATATGACGTAGAATTTTTGGTAAGAAAATCAACCTTGACAATTTTATCCAAAAATTAAAAAAATATAAATATATTACATAAAATTTAAGTTTCAACTTTATAGTAAATATAAGATTGTGACTATAGCAAATATGAGTTATAAATTTTATATTATATGCATTTAGAAAAGAGTTAAATATTATTTTAAAATGCTTCTTTGTGCTTATTAATCTTTTTTAGGTTTGGTTATTTTTGGTATTCTTTTATTATTATTATTATTTTGGTATTTTTGTTTGTATGCTAGTGCCAAATTTGGTTTATTTAATTCTTTGTAGATATACTATTTATATTTTCTGAAACATTAACGTAAAGATTCATTATCAAGAATTGCCCTGACCAGTTTGGCTCAGTGGATAGAGCATTAGCCTATGGACTAAAAGGTCCCAGGTTCCATTCCAGTTAAGGGTATGTACCTTGGTTGTGGGCACATCCTAGTAGGAGATGTGCAGGAGTCAGCTGATCAGTGTTTTTAACTCTCTAGCTCTCTCCCTTTCTCACTGTAAAAAATCAATAGATAGATAGATAGATATGAATTAAGGGATCATGTTTCCCTTTATATATGTTTTCTAATTTGTTAAAAATATTCATTTCAGAAGTTAGAAAATTAATTTTGAATTAACCAGTACCCCATAGAAAGTTATCTCTAGTTCTTTCTTACTTAGTGCTATTTTCTTTTTTTTTCTTTTTTTTCCTATTTTTTTATTT